TGCTCTTTTTGTATCCTTGGGGAAAAGTAAAACCCTAGGACAAACATTTATCACATAACTGCAGTACTGTATCTGATGAGCCAATGGAAAAGGGACAATTAGATTACAGCAACGGATGGGTGGGACAAATTGCTGGTTATCCCTTAATTAGATTAGGAAACAAATTGGAGTGGCATGCTGTGTCAGAAAAGGCTTTATGCCCACGGATGCCAATTAGTCAGGCAATTGCTATGGATCAATACATAGTGGTAGTACACATAAGAGCACTCATTCAGAGTTTAACATCAAGGACGTTAAAAAACCGCCGAGCGACTTGTATCACGAGCTAAGCAAAATAAAGTTGAATTTTGTTGTTCTCTCTTGTGAATCTGTTTTTTTACCTCCATGAAAAATGGAGGTATTGTTTTTGGCGCGTCTGTCTGTGTGTGTGTGTGTGTGTGTGTTTGTGTTTCCACACATTTGTAGTCAGCATAACTTCATAACGCCTTTATGGATTATGATGATATTTGGTATGTTGGTAAGTCTTAGGAAAACAAAGGTCAAGGTCAAATATGGGCCTCCTGGTGGATGACCTTGGTACTGCAGTAGAACTTCCGGTTGTTGTATCTTTTGTCCTGAACATGCCATGGTCTTGTTTACGATGACTTCTATAAACAGAGTACAGAATCTAGGTTCCAATTCTTAAATCTGAAAAGCCTCTTGAGTGTAAAGACATACTAGGAGAAAAAAAGTCTTCAAAAACAAAAGTTACAAAATATGACAGATGTTATGTTACGTACAGATATGGGATAGAGAGAATTGATCAGGAAGATGCCCATGAGATATAGCATGTTTCAGGTGATTAGAAAATTCTTCAGAATCTGTGATAACGAGTCTCAAGGGATGTGGCATGTCCAGTAGTAGATTATAATGAGAAATTATTGCAAATCCAAGCCCGGAGGCTAATTGCAAATCACTAACATAAAAGAACATAATGGAACAGAGTATAAAATTACTAATTTAAAATCTGTAAACCATGGAAGATGTAATGTCCCAGCTTTTTCAAAATTTGTGGGTTGTAGGAAGTTACAAGAAGAATACTAGTAGGTTTTTTTTTCTGCAAGTTTAGAGAAATTAGGATAAATTGTAGATGTTTGAATAGCCAACTCATTATAATGTACTATCATCTAATTGTGTAATTGATAATAATAGTTAAACAATTGTCTGTACCACTAGCCCAGGGAGAACACTTTAGAACTGATCACTCTAAGCTGGTCTCCAGTATGATGTTTCTGACTTAGGAAGAGGAGATGCTGATTCATGTAACCCATAACTTTAAAGTGGCCATTGAGTCCTGTTATGTGGCACCACTGAGAAAATTTTTCATGGACGCCAACGTATGCATTCGACTACATGTATTGAATCTTTTCAAGTCCATAATATGCAAGATTCATTGCCACTTTTAGCTGAGAAACTTTCATTCACTGAGAGAGAAACATTCATACAAAACTGCACCAAAAGACACTCTCATAACATCTAACGGAAATGGGTGTCATTGTCTGTTTGTTGCACTTAACTCTTACGCATGCATCCCTGCAGATTCTGAACTTTTCACCAGAACTGCATTAGGAACTTTTATAGCTTGTTAGTGATGTCAAACTGTGCTGTATCTCCTAATTGGCCATGCCTGTGGTTCTTGTTGCTCTTTTCTAACTGTGCATCCTGCAGGGCATCTCCCACTAACAGAAGAAAACCTGATCTAGAGACCCAATCCTTCCCCTTAGTTGAAATAAGAAGGAACAACTTTCAATTGCTGAATCTGGTGTAAAGTTATCTTAAGTTTATACGATACACTGTTCCAAATACAGATGCAATGAATGCAGTAGGGGAATCATATTCACATAATATACTTTTTTAATACACATACCAACACCAGCTTAGGTTGTTTAGGTACTAGACATTAGCTCCAAAACCTAAAGATATCTAGATCGTTAAACATTTCTTATGTTTGGTTTTGCATTACCTGTCTGTGAATATAGGTAAGAGGATTTACAAGTCTTGAAAAGAGACAGAAAATAATTTTTCTAAGATGTTACAGTAACTACTTCTTATTGAAATAAAAAAAATCTTACAGAAGAGTAAATGGCATTCTGCAGTAATATGTCGTGTGCAATAACAAATGCAAAAAAGTGACAGAATAAGCAACAAACTAACAAATCAATAAACTAAACTTTTTTGATGGAAGGGTCGCTAGATGTTGAAGTTTATTTTCCCCTCCGGCAGCTGGTAATGGAGCATACAGATTGGTTGGTCAGGGAGGAGCGAGTCTGAGTACAGGACTCATTGTCTCTAAATCATTGTCACACTAATGGGACCTACCCTGGCACCATCTGTGCAGGCATCTATAGATTGCCCATTCACTTGATGTGGGTCGCAGGACAACTGCCCTTGACTAACATGGGATTTAGATCACAATTCCTACCTGCTGATACAAAAATAGGAAAATCTGAGGGTACGTAGTGATGCATACCGGTTCACTGGACTTGGATCCGGACTTGTAAGAATGTTTAGGTTCAAGTCCAAAAAAACCTCAAAGTCAAGAACCGAGTCCGGACTTATTACCATAAAAGACCATTTCACATACCCCTTTTCTTTCCAAACCACCTAAAACCTTCTGTAGCTTGCAAAATCTTTGCTGCAAAACGAAGAAAACATTGCCATCGGGCATCGTCAAGTACCGGCCTCCATGTTATGTGGCCAAATTTTGCCCATACAGCATTGCAAGGTTGCCAACATGCAATTTTGTATATGCCATGGGTTTAGGTCCAGACTTACAAGTCCGGAACTGAACCTAAACCTCTGGACTTGAATCCGGACCTGAACCTAAAATTGGGTTTAGGTATGCATCACTATCTGAGGGAAACTTCTTTCATACGTTCTGTTCACGATCTTCGTCTATGCTGTCATTTTTTTCTACAATTAAAATTCAGCAGCAATGCTATACTTGTACTGAAGAGGATACATGCATTATGCATAAGAATGATACTGGTGAAAGCTTTGGATCCAATGAAAAACATGCTCGGCAAGCTGGAACCTTTTCATATTATTTACTTTCAGTAGTAATACTTCACTCCCTTAGGAAATGGGAGAGACCGACCTCGGAGGCCTCTCTTCACGGGTACGAGCTTTTAATTTCAGAAAAGCTGATGCAGAATGGGGTTCGCAACCCTCCAATTTATAATTGAAAGGTCGTTTATATGTAGCCGCAGAAGGATGCACTTCATTTCATTTTGCTTGCAAGAAATCCTGCATTCTCCACCTTACTTGACCCAGCTTTTGAGAAGATCGCCGTGTTTTTTAAATAAACCTGGAACAGAAGCTTATAGCTTAAGACAGAGTGCAGAGTAATTTGCTTTGGCCACAAGAGAAGTAATTATTGGGCTAAAAAAACATTTTATAACAAGTAAACTTCGGTCCTGTCCTTGGTGCTGAAATGTGTTTCTACTGATCTCCAACTTTTATAGCTACATATAAGATAACAGAAATGTTTCCTTTGAGGTATACACAGCTTCAGTATCACTTGTACTCAAATCAGATGTCTTAGTAGGTCATAATTCCAACCAAATACCAAGGATCAGAAAAACTAACAAATGAGCGACTATTGGGATATTGTTCAATCTGATTGTGAAAAGTACTGTAATTCTAATATGAATCACTAGGTGGCGGGACACATGGACCAGGTGGTAAGATCCCTATATTCCATTTTCATGTACATGAGCTGGATGGACAATACATACCTGAATAACAAAATGTTTACTATTTTATACAACTTGAACTTGAGCGCACACTTCTAATGCTGTTTGATTCACACCAAGATGGCAACTGATTTTAACATCCCCTAGCAAAAAGTATCTATGCCCAGACCTTTCCTTTTGAAACTCCAGTGACAATGCCAGGCTATAGAACAACTTTGGTTATTGCTAACAACATTGATGACATGTACAGTAGTATGATCAAGAGTGATTGTTTCCTTGGTCAAATGTTCACTGCAGATTTCATGGATGCATGGGCCAAATTAAATTTTTAAAAAATGATGTTATGCTTTGAGGAAAGATTTGGCCCCTTCTTCAGTTTCAAAATTATCTTATTCAAACCAATATTGGATTAAGAATATCTTGGAAAAAATACCTATAATATTTGATAACAACACTGAAAAACAGAATCTCAAAGCACAGGTGACGAACCAAGGTATTCAACTGGTACTGCCCACTGCAAACCTAAAATAAATAGATCTTTTACAGACTGGGGTAATTTTCTGTTGCTCTAAAGAAGACCTCCTGTTAACTTTTTATGTCTATGGCCTGACACTGATTTTTAATTGGCTGCTGAATAATTCAAAATACCATCAGCCTAGGCTTCTGTTATTGATTTCTGCGCTCACAACAGTTAGATTAGCAGAAAAGCTGGTATTGAGGCAATGTCTTTGAAATGATACTGGTAGTTGGACCACTAAATGTTTACAATCCACTTTTTATGTCCTTGTGTTTTTAAGCCACACCAGTTTAATTTGTTGTTTCTCAGATTCACCCTGTCCATTTTTTTTACTTGCAAAAAAAAAATTGTTCTGAGTCAACTGCAAAATGCTCAATGAAAGACATACTTTGGTCCCAACAGTTGAAGAAAGTCCTTTTCTTCCTAGTTTTTAACTAGTTTTTAAAGTTTTTCAATGTAACAAATTAATTTTGTTTCATTAAAAGTTCAAAATGTAATTAAAAACCATCTTGGTATGTTCACTTCATGACTCTTATTGCAACATTTCCAGCCTTCATGGGGTGCCTTGGCCTGTTTTTTTTTTCACCCTGTCACTTCATATTTTTTCTGGAAAAATCTGAGAAACAACAAATTAAATTGGTGTGGCCTTATGACCAAATTGAATTGAAATCACAAGTTGAATACAATTTCTGATAAGATAGTTGCTTACCATAATGCTTGTATGTCTCCCCAGGTTTGCAATAAACCAATGCCGGCAAATGAACAAGAGTTACAGTTGTCAGTCTTGTCTCTTCTTCCAGTAAATTAATTATTTAAACCAAGCGGGAAGAAACTTGTGCTCTTACAGTATGGAGCCAGTGTGCCCTGAAGGAGAAAGGAAGAGAAACAAGAAAGTTATCTACCAGCAGTTGACCTAATTACTGACATGTACAAATGTATGTTGTCGGAAATGAAGCATGAGGTAGTCTACGTAGTCTTGGTAGTACTTCCCAATCGAAGATAACTGTGATTTTCCTCATTCACAGGGGTGTGACCTCATATGGCTTACTAGTGTAGTAGTCTAGTACTGTGACAACAAATTAATTATTTTCTAGCATAGATATTTCTCTGACAAAGATAAGTTGTTATTTTGAAGACTGTCAGTGTCCTCATTCATGGGGATATGACCTCATGTGGCTTACTAATCTAGTAGTAGTCGAGTACTTCGACAACAAATCATAGTTTCTTGCCTAAATATTTCTCTGACAAAATTACCAGAAATTGCTAATTTGATGACTGTCAGTGTCCTCATTTGAGAGGGTTTGACCACATGTGGCTTACTAGTCTAGTAGTACTGTGACAACAAATCAATCAGTTTGTTACATCCGGAAAAATCCCCCTAAATTTCCTGTCTACTCCACAATTATAGTGCGCCTGGGAGTTAACTTTAAGCAAAATAAAGTTGACTTCAAGTTGAAGTCATACTGTAACTGTACTTCTCAAAAAACAGGTCTTGCGACAGTTAATTCTCACTTTGGGACAATTGAGATTTACATTGTATTTTTGGGACACTGCTGGGACAATAGGAAGAAAATTTAATTTTGAGGCCTAAAAAAATAATAAAAAGTAATAGTTGTAAGATATTTCCTTTTTTAAACCATCTGTTACAGTGACTGGGCACATCTGAACAGGGATCTTTTTTCATGGATGATGTGATGTACATTAGTAATAGGTTTGGCCTAACAGAGACCATCAGAGATGAGTAGGTGGGTTGGAACAGGTGCTACAGATGGCAGATCAATGGTAGGTTGACATGGGCATAACCTTTCCTTACACAGTACATGATTAAATCTTCCACGGTATAGAAACACACCACTAATATTAATGTCCAACACACAGAAACAACAGTGAAGAACAAGTCAATTTATTTTTTAAAGCTTCATGAATTTTTCTTGAGTCCACTTGACACAGAACATCCCATATCTGATCCATTAGCCCACACTGAATTGATTTGTTGGTTCTCAGATTTTTTTAGAAAAAATATGAAGCACAGGGCAAAAAAAATTAGATAAAACAAAAAGGCATCACATGATAGCCCCAAATTCTATGATAGGAGCCATGAAGTCAACATACCAGGCTGGTTTGAAATTATTTAAACAATGAATTTCAAAGTTTTAATCAAACCACTGCATTGATAGATGGAAAAACTGAATCTGAAGAGAAGGACTTCCTTCAACACTTGGGGCCAAATTATGAGCATTTTGGAGTTGATTCAGAGCCTGAAAAGCTTTTTTTTTAGAAATCAGAAAAAACGGAGCAGATGAATTAGTTAGACATTCTGTACCCCAACTGGTACTTTGTTGTGAACTAGATAATGCTATAATTTGCCCTTGAGGCTCCAGAGGAAAGGTTTTCATTAAAGCTACTTAGTTGCATTAGATTAGTAAATGTAACTAAAGGTCAAAAACATACAATCATGTACAATCTCAAAGACATGCCATCACTTCATGTCACCAACTTTTCTCTTTCAGGGACATTTGATACATGTTGCTGGGAATGTCTAGTCTCATGTGGTTTTTACTTTGAATATTAGTTATACTATGAAGAATTAGCACTCTCTTAACTTATGACAGGCAGCAATATTAAAATGTAATAATGGCGCTACAAGAACAGTTACTCTAATGATGAATTGGTATCAAAACTTTTAAGAATTTCTTCTTGATGTGAGGCAAAACTGAAAAAGGCAAAAGAGTAGCATGAAGTCAGTAAGGAGCCTCTTCTATCTAAATCTCTGTTATATTTTTGCAAATGATACCACTTGATTAATAACAACCCTAATTTAAATCACATACAAATTCACATAATTTTGATATCATTTTGCACATTTATTTGGCAAACTTAAAGATAAATTCTTCACTTCGCTATACATTTTTTGCCTTATGTTTCCTTTCCTATTCAACTTTTTTCCTATCCTTTTCAATGTCTCAATTCCTTTAATGCCCCAGTCCTGCAGACAGTTAAAAAAAACCTTCACGTGGTTGAAAAGTTACCCACTAGAATTGGCAGGAACAATTTCCTTGTGGCATTATAAGAGACCAACAGGATGTTAAGACAATTGAGAAAATCTTGCCGTTAAGTTGGCAAATCTAAGATAACCGACTATTGATCCTGAATCACCGAAAGATATGTCTTGTAGGACATGAGTTATAGACCACTAGAAGGGATGCCAGAACATGTGGTAAAATCCATAGCAAACACCCTCAGCAGGTGTGTGACTGCTTGGTCAGTAGATGTATGGGCTTGTACTTGTCACCCCCCATTACCCCCCTCCCCACAGGGATGTCTGGAATAGAGATAAGAACTATTATTTATTAGGAACTCTCTGTAACAGATTTTCCTACCAGGCCAATAACCTCAAACAACCTTGACACATCTCTCAGGAACTAAAGCATGAAGTTCATCGGTGTTGGTTAACAAGTCGTTATGAAATAAGACTATTAGTAAACTTTCCTTCCAACACTGGTCTGAATTGAATCTTTGGGACATCTCTGTGTCTTTAGAAGGGGTCAAAATCTTTGATTCTGAACCAGCCTTCTTTGCAAGAGGAGTAAAGGAGGTGGTCTACATTAGAGCTCACAGACCTACCCTGAACAGAGACGGGGGGTGGGGGGTGGACACGAGTTATCTGGCACGTACGACGCTACTACAGTCATGTGTCTCTGATGTCACATTCCAAGTTAGATTAGACAGGTCCATTCCATGAACAAGGTTGATGGAGTCAGCCGAAAATGTCCCAATTCATTCCAGTGTTGGAAGGAAAGTTTAGTCTTTATTTCATAATCTCTCCAGAAGTCTAAACTTCTTGTTAGAGTTTGCAACAGGACAACTGCCCATAAAATAAGATAAAAAGTGCCACATAAACCTGCTCAAGTTATTACTCTCAACAAGCCGCTCAGGTGTGGAAATCTGAAGTGACGTTGATGAATTTCTACCAGATGCTTTACCTTCAAAGCAGCTGTTACAGTTTGCTAAAATATCACCGTGTCGGTTGACCCCTCCCCTTCCCAACATATATCACCTTTCCTGGATAAAACACCGATGAATTCTCTAATTTTCATTGATAGAAAAGCTGGTCAGAGGTACAGTGCCTGGTCATATATATGCCAACTCCTCCTAAAGGGAATAGACAGCGTTTAATGGAACCTTTTGTGATGACATTGGAAAATGCCAACACCATGGCAATGGTGTGACAGCCATGGGCATAAATCTCCTGTTTTTGTCTGGTTACATTACTGCAGAAGTCTGTTAAGCAATGTAAGAAGTAACTTGTACGTGTTAAGATAAAATTTACAGTTACTTTCACGGACGATGTTCAGGAGAACTTGCACTTCTTGTTCCGCCGCTCAGAACCTTTCAGCGTGCCACTAGGTTCTCTTCCAGTTCTCATCAATACACCGTCAACATACCTGTCTCCAAGTCATTTTACAACAGCTTCTTTCCCCGGACTGCAAAATTATGGAACTCTCTTCCAAACAGATGCTTTCCGTCCGACTACAATCCACAAAGCTTCAAAACAAAGGTCCACCGCCATCTCCCAACATAACTACATTATAGTCACTTATTAGTACCTCAAGCTCTATGCCTAGAAGTGGCCAAAAATAATTGGCCTTGCATTGAGCGACACCGTTAAAAATATATATATATATTTCTTTCAGATAAGATATCATATTATGTGGTGTCAGAAACATACATGTATACCATTAAGAATTTAGAATGTCATCTATATGTAGTTATTTGTAAATTTGTAAATCAGATTCTGCTGTTTTGGTTTGGTATATTACTGAAGAAGTCTGTTAAGCAATGTAAGAAGTATTTTGTATGTAATGAAGATAAAATATTTCCTCCAGATAAAATATCATGAATGAATGAATGGTTTATTCGATCATTTTGATCAGATAAAGTACATCGCAGCCATGGGATGAATTGCGTACTTTTTACATTTAAAAACAGTTAAAAGTTGACTCTAAATAGTGGCAAAAACTCATCTTTCTCAATTAACAATTCTAAAACTTAAGAAACACTACCTTAAAACAGGTAGGTTGTACTTCTTGTGCATCATATATGTGGTATCAGAAACAACCATTAAGAATAAAAAGAATGTCATCTTATTTGTAAATTTGTAAATCTGCTGTTTTGGTTTGGTATATTACTGCAGAAGTCTGTTAAGCAATGTCAGAAATATTTTGTATGTAATGAAGATAAAATATTTCCTCCAGATAAAATATCATATATTATGTGGTATCAGAAACAACCATTAAGAATAAAAAGAATGTCATCTTATTTGTAAATTTGTAAATCTGCTGTTTTGGTCTGGTACATAACTACAGAAGTCTGTTAAGCAATGTAAGAAGTATTTTGTATGATTGTGTTAAAGATAAAATATTTCTTCCAGATAAGATATCATATAACGTGGTGTCAGAAACAACCATTAAGAATTTAGATTGTCATCTACATGTAGTTATTTCTAAATTAATTTTGTAAATTTGTAAATCTGCTGTAGTTTTGATTTGGTATAATATTACTGCAGAAGTCTGTTAAGCAATGTCAGAAGTATTTTGTATGTGTTTAAGATAAAAGTATTTCCTACAGATAAGATATCATATATGTGGTGTCAGAAACAACCATTACGAACAAAAAGAATGTCATTCTGGTATTTCATATTGTGTAGTAGGTAAACAGCTCAATACCTTGTGCATCTATTTAGCTTGTGGTAAGGCCACACTGATCTAATTTTATGGATTACATCCGTGCGTGCATTGATTTTCGCCTGTTCTCAAAAAAACAAAACAAAAAAATAAAAATCACGTCTTCCGAGGCTCTGGCCT